AGATCTCACTAAAAACCATGGTCAGGTCTGTGCATGCTACGGGAACTGGCTACATAGTGGAGTTTGGAGCCATAGGCTTAAGGAAGAACCAATGCATGAGGAAACTGACCTTGGAATATTAGAGGTGATAGATAGTTACCCCTATCTGTTTGACCAGAACCCTAAATTACCACCCAATAGGACCCATGACCATGCCATAGAACTCCAACTAGGTTCCAAACCACCCAAATCCGACCCCACAAATACCCGTACTTTCAGAAGAATGAAATCAAGCGGCTGGTTGGGGAAATGTTGACTACCGGGATTGTACAGCCTAGTGTTAGCCCATACGCCAGTCCTGTCCTATTAGTCAAAAAGAAGGATGGGAGTTGGCGATTTTGTGTAGATTACTAGGCATTAAACGACATTACAATACCTGATAAATTCCCAATACCGACCATTGAAGAGTTACTTGATGAATTGGCTGAGGCAACGGTTTTCACAAAACTGGATCTAACGTCAAGATACCATCAAATTAGGGTGCGAGAGGTTGATGCTCCCAAGACAGCCTTTCACACACATGAGGGGCATTACAAGTTTCTTGTGATGCTTTTCGGACTCACTAATGTGCCCTCAACATTTCAAGCCTTAATGAACTCCGTATTTAGACCTGTCCTCCGTAAATTCATCCCGGTCTTCTTTGATGACATTCTTGTGTATAGCCCCTACATTTCCACACACATCCAGCATTTACAACTAACCTTTCAGATTTTGCAGGAACACAAGCTAGTTGTTAATAAGAAAAAATGCTCGTTTGCCCAATCTAAGCTGGAATATTTGGGTCACCTGGTTTCAGAAAAGGGAGTAGAGGCAGATCCGAAAAAGATCGAGGCCATGGTGTCTTGGCCACGACCTGTGAATGTGAAGGGATTGAGAGGTTTTCTTGTGCTGACAGGTTATTACTGGAGATTCGTAAAAAGGTATGGTTCAATCGCATGGCCCCTTACTCAGCTACTGAAAAAAGATTCTTTCACTTGGAATGATTCAGCACAAACGGCTTTTGATAGACTTAAGAAAGCCATGACTACTGTCCCAGTTTTAGCAGTTCCAGATTTCACACTTCCCTTTGAAATTCAGACAGACGCATCCAGAAAAGGTCTCGGGTCTCTTTTGGTGCAACAGGCTCGACCTATAGCTTTCCTCAACAAGGCATTCTCCCCTACAGCCAAGTTGATATCAGTTTATGAGCGTGAATTGATGGCCATCCTCTTTGCGGTCAAGAAGTGGAGTCACTATTTGCTTGGCAGAAAATTCATAATCAAGACTGATCAGCTCAGTCTCCAGTTTTTAATGGACCAAATATCAAAAACGTCAGAGCAACACAAATGGATTTCCAAGCTAATGGGTTTTACGTTTGAAATTCAGTATTATCCAAGGGCTTCCAACCGAGTGGCAGACGCTCTTTCAAAAAGAGAAGACGAAACTGAATTGGCACACCTTTTAGCTTTGTCTGCGGTACAGTTTTCTAAGTATGAGGACATGGCTTTAGAGGCACAAACAGATCCGAAACTCAGGGAAATCATTCAGGACCTTCTCCTTGATTCTTCTAGTTGACCCAACTACCACCTCCGCAGGGGCTACCTATTCTATAAGGACAGGTTGGTTATTCCAAAAGGGTCCAGATTTGTCTCCACATTACTGGCCGAGTTCCATTAGAGTCCTAATAGAGGCCACTCGGGTTTCTTCAGAACATACAAGAGAGTCTCCTCAGTAGTTTATTGGGAGGGTATTCAGGAAGATATACAACGTTACATTAAGGCCTGCACTACCTGTCAACTTAATAAACAGTCGTCGTTAAAACCAGCCGGACTCCTCTAGCCCCTTCCCATTCCAGATCAAGTTTTTGAGGATCTCTCTATGGACTTTATCGGGGGGCTACCACATTCGAAGGGAGTGGATACTATCTTTGTTGTTGTTGACCGCCTGACCAAGTACAGCCATTTTTTTAGTCTCGGTCATCCTTACAATGCAAAGGATGTGGCTTCCATATTCGTTAAGGAAGTGGTCAGGCTCCATGGTTTCCCTAATTCCATTGTTTCTAATAGAGACAAACTTTTTATGAGTCAATTTTGGTAGGAGTTGTTCAAGGCTGTCGGCACTGTTCTGAAATTTAGTTCGGCTTACCATTCGCAAACAGATGGGCAAACGGAGGTGGTCAATAGGTGTCTCGAGGCATATCTCTGCTGTTTCTGCAGTTCTCAACCACGACAGTGGCCGATTTGGCTTACTTGGGCAGAATATTGGTACAACACAACCTATCACGGCTCCATCTGAATGACTCCCTTCAAGGCCCTCTATGGATGAGACCCTCCCACCCTTTTAAAATTCACAGACTACCCTTCCGCCTTGGAAGATGTCAATGTCCAAATGACTGAGAGGAATGCCATGTTAAAGGAGCTTAAGGACAACTTAGTTGTGGCTCAAGCTCGCATGAAACACAATGCTGACCTTCATCTGCGAGACAAGTGCTTCCAGCCTGGTGACTCAGTTTTCCTGAAGCTACAACCTTACAAGTTTAAATCACTTGCCCGAAAATTGAATGAAAAACTCAGTCCTCGTTTCTATGGCCCTTACACTATTTTGGAACGCATTGGACCAGTGGCTTATAAATTGGATCTGCCTCTCACAGCCCGTATTCATTCTATCTTCTATATTTCTCAGCTCAAGCGGAGCTTACATCAATCGGTACCCATCCAACCCCTCTCGGAATCACTCTCTAAAGACATGGAATTACTGGTCCAGCTAGACATTGTTCTCTCTGTGCGTACTTTATTAGATGGGTCTAAGGAGGTTCTCATCAAATGGTAGCATTTACCTGATTTTGAAGCCACATGGGAACCATATGAAGTGATTAAAATGCAGTTTCCTCAGTTTCACCTTGTAGACAAGGTGAATCTTCAAGGGGAGGGTATTGATAAACCGCCAGTGCATAAAGTTTACACCCTTAAGGGGCGTAATAGACATTAGGAAGGTTGTTAAGGGAAGAGGGTCCACAAAGCACAGGTGTCATGGGTAGGAGTCTGTTTTGAGAATAAGAATTGTGTGAGTAAGGGTAATTGTGGAAAGGGGATTAGTATTTAATCAGGGAGAGTCGTAGCAGCTGGGTATCTTATTTTTTGTTGATAAAACAGTGGAGGTTCCTGGCTCCTCGAAACACTAGGGTTTAGGGTTACAGTGCAGTTCATTCCATTTCTATATGTTCCATTCATATTATCTAATTAATACAAATAGTGTTGAGATTGCATATTCTGTTTCTTGTGTTATTCTGGTTGTGGATTGACTGTGTGTTGATTACTTGTGTGAGAATTATTGCTGGTTGGTTGTGGATTGAGTTTGTCTGTAGGTGATCGTATCACAATCCAAGCAATATAATCCCAATAAATTCTATAAAGTATTAACAGTCTAAATTATTTAATTTGAAATTGAAAAAAAATAATAATAAAAGAGAACACTGAAATTTTGGTGGGGTGTTAAATGCCGGTTGAAATCTGGCAAAACAGTGGCCAAATCAGGGTGGCATGATTTGGAGCAACAGTGACCAGGTCGTGGCCGCCCAATCCAGTTTTGTGGCTAGCCAGATTGGGCAACCACGATTCGGCCATCGCTTGGCCGAATCGAGCCGCCAAACGGTAGCACCTTGGCGGAATGAATGGGGAGGAGGAAAGAGAAGAATGTAAGCGAAAGAAGAGAGAAGAAAAGAGAGAACGGAGAAAAGAAAAAACATATTTAGGGGTTAATGAATAGTATTTTGAAAAGTAAAAAATACCCTTTATATATTTAATGAATATAAAAAATGCTTAACTAATGGTTAAAGTTAACAACCAAAACTAGCTGAGAAGGAGTTATGTCATGTGTAATATTTTTTTTATTTTCAATACTAACTGACAAACATGGCAAATATAGAGGAATTCTCATAAATATCCCATTTTTTAAAAGGATGTTTGATATTTATTAATAGGTTTTTTTTAAAGGAATTTTGATAATTATGGAAGTATATAGCTCTTTTCAACAACAATCGAATTAATATGTGTTATGCCTAAAATAAGGGTTGACCCATGCTGACATCATCAAGCACTAATCAAAATTCAAGAAGGCTTTTCACCGTCCAGAGTTTATGATGTCCCCAAAGGCAAAATGAATATAATTGTTAACAATCTAATCGACTTAAACAATTGTCTTTGAATGAATTTGGTTCACAAATTTGTCCAAGCTCTATTTAATTTAAAGGTTTTCTTTGAGTTCTCAACAAATTAGATGGTAGGAGAGGTATGCACGGCACCAAGTCACTTGCAAAAGTGTAATCATTACCTTGAACACAACAGGTATAAATAGGCAGCTCTCCCTCACAAAAATAGAATCAAATACTCTTGAATTTAAAAAAAAAAATAGTAACGACATACTACTAGAAAGATACTAGCTTGATATTCTCTAACACTTAGAACATCAAACATTTGTAATACCAGCTCGCAGTTCGGCAACCTTTTGTAATCTTGACTAACGACCAAAAACACACTTATATAAAAGAACACAATGGATATAAGATTCGTTTTAAGTATCTGAACTACTATAAAAAATTTAATGTCTCCTTTATTTTTTACGTCTTTGCATGCCACTGTGCAAATAGTACCTCATCCATTCACTATAATCAGTGCATATGTAATTTGGTAGTACTTTACACGTACGAAGTCGTTAGTACCAAAATCAAGTATCAACCATATATATCATACTAAGCAATTTTATAAGATAAATAAAATAATCTCAATATAATATATATAAAACGACCCTGTAAAAATTGATCTTCCAACTTTAATTTATTTAAATTTTAAGAAAGAAGATTTATACCAGATTTGTAAATTAAACGATCCTTTAAAAATGGATCTCAAAATTCAGAGACTGGCTAGGCGCCAAAACTATATACGGCCGGGAAACATAACTCATTCTGTTCGCGCCACAAGTTCAAAATGAATCCCGCCAACTCCATCACTTATTTCTTTAATTCCAAAACCACTAAACTCTTAATCAACAAACTAAAACAAAACAATTCCAGACCCAATCACACGAGATGGATCTCTCCGATATCGCTCAAAGGCTAGGCCTCTCAGATTCCAAGCAATTGATCCGAAAAGCCGCTGAGTTTCGCCGGCTTTGCGACGCTCAGTTCGATTCCTCAGTTATCGGAGTCGTAAGCACTATAGAACTCTGATTTATTCATCAAAATTTTAAGCAGAAGTTGAAATTTTGTTTAAACAAATTCTGTTATCCTTTTTAGGGAGAGATCTGTAAGGCTATAATGTGTCTGGAAATCGCCGCCACGAGGTATAAACGTTAACGTTTGATTGATCCAGACGACCAATAAAATGCTGCTTTGTTTGTGATATTAATTAGGACTTGGTGTATGCAGGTTTGACGTTATATTTAACCGACAGACAGCGATTAAGATGAGTGGAATGTCTGAGAAGGCTTATACCCGATCCTTTAATTTGCTACAGAACAGCATTGGTTTCAAGTGGGTGATTTGTTTTATTTTTTTGCTTCCTTATGTTGATTTTAATTTGATGTGGATTGTGTTACTGATAAGAATATGTTATGGTTTGGTGTAGGAATAAGTTGGATATACGAGAATTGGGGATTCAGTTTGGGTGTGTTAGGCTCATTCCATTTGTACGAAAGGGCTTGTCGCTGTAAGTTCCTTTTCCTGTTGCTTTATTGTAGCTTTGTTTTGAAGTTCATAAATTTTGTATATTCTGTTTGCTACAGATTGATTGTGCACACAGATGATATTTGCTACTTGTTTGTAAAAATGCCCCTTAGAAGGGAGTCCCAGAAGTCAAAGACTTGTCCTATCTTTAGTTAATGCAGTGCTGTGAATGAATTTATTGATTGGTGATTGAATGAATGGTGTTGATGTCAGGTACAAGGAACGGTTTCTTGCTTCGTTGCCAGCTTCCAGGCGGGAAACTGCAGACTTCACTCGCCCTGTATTTACCGCTGTTGCATTCTACTTATGTATAAAAAAACAGAAGGTAACCAAGAATAAATATTGCAAAGGAATGGTGGTTTGAGAAATTTTATTTGGTATACTTGTATGTTTTAACTTATTTAGTGTTTGAATGTCTAACGTAACAGCTGAAGGTAGACAAGCTTAAGTTGATTGAGGTTTGTGGCACATCTGAAGCTGAATTTACAAGTGTAAGGAAATCCCCCATAGTGGATAATTCTTCTTTGTAGTGGGTCATGTTGGTATCATTTTGAAATTATATGGGACTGTTTATAGGTTGCTACCACAATGAAAGATCTATGTCATGATGTTTTTGGAGTCGCAAAGGAAAAGAAAGATCCTAGAGAAATAAAAGGGAATCGAGGTAACACTTTATTTGTCTTTGCATTGGAATCTTTATGGATGTGCCATGTATGTGAGTCTGAAGTTTTTCTAACTTTGGCACTAGTTTTTCTGTGTAACTTGAATTCAGTTAGTTTTGACCAATATTTTTGGCATTCTTTTTTTCTAAAATCAGTTTTGGCATTTGTTTTTTCCTCTAATTTTGCCTTATTTGTGCAGAATTGCTTGATGTCTTACCGGGAAAAAGGAAGATTGAAGATGGAGGATATCTATCTGATGATGGAGCTGAGGTAGTGTGGCTGCATCTCTTGCTGTGTTTTATTCCCTTTTCACATTGGATAAAAGAAATGTTTAGATCAAGTCTGTAGGGATAAATGCCAGTTGAGTCCCCTCAGACATTTGACATTTGTTGACTTTTGATATTAATTTAGCAAAACAATATATGATCCATTTCAGAAGAGTGCAATGTCTCTTATCTTCTGAATTCTGTGAGGATCATTAATAAATATTTCAAGCTGTTTACTGGCTTTCTTTTGATTTGTTTGTTTGGCTGACCTGGAGCATAATATATGTTGTAATACGTATACACCCAGTATGATACTGCAGAACTGTTAGCATGAATCAAAAGTAGCACCAAATGACATAGCTTTTGAATCAAAAGTAGTACAAAATCTCCTCTTTAATGGACCAAATTGTTTGTTAGCAAGTTATAGCCATATGAATTGGGACCAGTGCCCCACAATAGGATGTGGTTGTATATAGATTATCAACTACTTGCTACAAGTTATATGCACACATTAATATCTTGTCAACCCCTATTTTAACAAGGCAGAAACAAAACATAGTTCCCATCCTTCGTTACCTATTTTTTCCTCTATCAGTTTGTGATTGGTTTTCCTAAAATGTTATTGGCACGATTCTTCTGCAGGTTTCAAGTTACAAACGGCAAAAAGGAAAGGAGAAAGTTGCTTATGAGGAGTGGAAATCCCGTGTCTTGTCATCAAACAAAAACAAGGCAAAAGGTTGGTTGGCATTTCCTTTTATTTTTTTACTTTTCTATTTTCATTATGCACTATTGTTACATAATTTGAGAGAAACGTTACTAATTTACTGATTGCAATTTTTAGTACCATGCAAGCGAACAACGCAAACCAGCCTCAACTTTCAGAAGAAAGTTGCCGAGATTCAGGAGTTGGAGGCATTGTAAGATACTGGCATCCTTTTGGTGAATCTTTTGGATTGTCCATGCTGGAAGCTCACATGGGAAGACAGGAAATGAACATAAAGTGCAATTATTGATTATGCTACAACTAACAATATAACTGCTTCGGGCTGGTGGTATATTTTTGTTATTGGTGCTTGCAGCATGTGCTCAATAGATCATGAATTGGAATTTCTGAGCATTGAAGGATTATTCTAATTATTTCTTCATATCAAGTGACTGTAAAGCTGCAGTTTTGCATATATATTATTATAGGATCTCCTTTTCTTCATAATGAAAGGAAAAAAAAAAAAATAGTGATTTGTTCAATAGACTCTTAGCTGTTGATAAATATTTTTGTTGACATTTATTTTGATTTGAGAGAATAAAAGTGTGTTCATTTGTTAAACAGAGGACTGACATATATTTTAGGTGACAATGTATTACTTACAGTTTAACATTCCTTATAACAAAGTTATTCAAAAGGTTAATCATCTTTAGGTGATTGGGTGGGATAATAAGAATTTTTGAGTATATTATTTAACAGGTTTTGATTTTTGAATTCGATTTATTTGGATTATTATTATGAGTGGTCATTAAAGGGTTTATTTAGTTTTTAATTTTAGGATCCTTAATAATTAATTAAGATGCGTATAAGTTGGTTCGAACACTTTTGGTTATTAGTAAAAAAGTAATTCAGAAGTAAAAAATGTTAAAATCATTCTATGGACAATACATTATTTATGAGAGTTTATGTTATATATTTTTTATTGATTAATTATGACATTTTGCTTTGTATTAAAGCATTCATCGTTTGTTTAATATTAATTTTGGATTTTACTTGTTACAAGAGTAAATGTTGGTGATTTCAAAATAATAAATAAATGTTTATTATTTAAAAAAATTAGGAAATTAAAGAGTTTCAAGACCTGTTTGGTTCACTGTGATGTTTTTAAAAATAATATTTTGAAAAAAGTAAAGTTAAATTTAATTATTAGAAAAGTAATTCTGATGTTTTGAATTAGATAAAGTAGAATTAGATTTTAAAAATATTAAAATAAATATATTTTTTAGTTTTTAAAATAAGATAGGATGAAAATAGTGAACCAGCATCGAATTTTTAACTTCGCAGGCCACCATTCAACTTGGGGCCGGCACATAGGAGACGTATTTGACCCATACACCACATAGAACACAAAGTACGACCAGAAATCGCCACGTCAAGACTCTATAAAAATATCTACCATGTACTCGCACACATGTAACAACATCCTCAATGATATTTATTGGTGCCTATCCACACAATACTTTGATTACGAGGACTGTTATCGAATCTTCTCTAACCTAATTCGTAATTTCGCATTAACTAATCTCTCTTTAGTCTTAGCTTAATTAAACAAAAGTCATTTATATAAAAAGAAAGGAAGGGGCGTTGAATCGCCTATATATTTAGTTATTAAATAATTGAATATAGGTTAGGGTTTTCTTGATCTCGTAAGAAAAATCGAAACTTGTTGGTATTTGTTTGTAGAACACAACATTAGGGCACATTGACTTGTGTCCTATTTGTTGAATTTGTAAAAGAAGAATGGAGTTTGGGGTTTCCGACGAGCTTTTAGGCACCTTTGTTCCGATTATAGTTTATTGGCTATATTCAGGGCTGTATGTGGTGGTTGGTTCATTTGATAAGCTTCAAAATTATAGGCTGCACCCTAGACAAGATGAAGATCAGAAGAATTTGGTATCTAAATTAGATGTTGTCAAAGGCGTTCTTCTTCAGCAATTTATTCAGGCTATTGTTGCTATTCTCTTGTTTTCGGTTAGTCTTTTTTTTTTTTCTTATATATGTTTCTGTAGGTCAATTTTAATCTTTTTTATGATGTTTGTTGATTCTGTGCTCGATTTATGGACATGGGTTTGCTTTAGTTTTTTTCTTTATTTTGAATTTTACTTTTGTGTTTTGTATTTTGTAATTCACTAAGTTGTTTAGAGTTGAGTTGACTTTTGAAGTATAAGATGATCGATCATACGCTTTGCAGTTTTTTGTGTTTATCCGATTTTACTCTTTATTTATTATTATTTTTTTTCTCTTAAGCTTGAATTTCTCTTTCAAGTGTTAACGGAATTAATTGGTGCATATATGATAAAAAAATAAAATTAAAAAAAAAAAAAATCTGTAATTTTTGTCTTCCAATTTCATTCCAGCTTCACGTTAGATTCATCGTGCTCAGGTACTAAGATATTATTTATTTATTTTTATTTTTATTTTTGCTAGGAGGATAAATAACTTGATAATAAGAATCTGCGTGATAGATTTTTGAAGGAATGCTCTGACGTTGGAACTTTAGCATCTCATGATATGAAGAACATGTTTGATTGGTGGCGAATTAGCATGTTGAATTTTGTGTTAAATTGTAGATTTAACATATGCAGATGAGTGCTAGTATATTTATTGTCTTTACAGTTTTGTGATTGTATGCTGTGCATATGGTCAATATGAGGAAGGTGTTTGTTGTTGTGTATATGCGTTAAGTGCTTTAATCAATTTATGTAGTATTTGATATACCATTTTAAGATATATATGGCATAATAAAGTTATTAATTAGATAAGAATCTCAAAGATATGGGTAGAACAATTATGGAAACCACGTTGGTAATTGACTGCATTGAATTTATGAGTTGACATTAGCAGAGGAATTCTGGTCCTTAATTTGTTGTATCATGGAGTCAGTGAGTTAAGCTGTGTATCTTTATACAAAAAGCCTTTAGTTCAAATTTCCTCTTCAGGAGTTGTTTGCTCTATCGTATGATGAATTTTCTTGAATCCTAAGTGTCTGATTGGTGATAAATTAATTACTTGGCTGGTATTACTCAGGTCATATCCTGATTGTTTTTGTTCAGCATCATAGACTGCTGCCAGCTGTGTCATATTATTCTCTCTGTTTTGTTGCTCACCTTCATCGTCTCTCTGTTTTGTTTGCTTGATAATAAATATGCAGAAACTAGATATATATTACTAATTTGTGGTGGAATCTTGTCCTGCATAGGTAACAGGAAGCGATGCCTCGGCTTCTGCCAATAAACAGTCTTCTCTATCTTCTTTAGCTAGACAATTCATAACAGCGATGTTGGTTATGGATACGTGGCAATATTTTATGCACAGATACATGCACCACAATAAATTTTTGTATCGACATATCCATTCTCTACATCACCGACTTGTTGTCCCCTATGCATTTGGAGCTCTCTATAATCACCCAATTGAGGGGCTTCTTAATGACACAATTGGAGGAGCTTTATCTTTTCTTCTCTCTGGTATGTCTCCTCGAGCCTCCATCTTTTTCTTCTCCTTTGCTACAATCAAAACAGTGGATGACCACTGTGGATTATGGCTTCCTGGAAACCTCTTCCAATTCTTCTTCAGAAACAATACTGCATATCATGATGTGCACCATCAGCTTTATGGTAGCAAATACAACTTTGCACAACCATTCTTTGTAATGTGGGATAGAATTCTTGGGACCTATATGCCCTATTCACTTGAGAAGAGAGCAGACGGGGGCTTTGAAGCACGACCTATCAAAGATCACAAAGAGAACTGATTATTATGTTTAGGACAATCAGTTGTGTACAACCAGTATTTGATTCTTTTTGCGAACTGATGAGCCATGCTGTTATGTTATTTTGTATATACATATAATGTTGTGTTTTATTCTCATAATTTTTGTTTATATGAGTTAGTAATGAAGTTGATATACCAATCAAACTAAATCTATCTTGAGTAGGGTGGCCAATTTAGGTGTTAAATAGATATAGTCTGCCATGAATTTTTTTTTCATTTATGAGCAATTAGGAAAATGTTTATAGATATTAAGTCAGATGCACCAATAATGGCAATTATTCTACAGCTTCTGTGACCTTGGTTCTTGAGTTTGTGGTGGACTGTTGCCGCCTCATTCAACCATCACCTAGAGCCTGTTTCATGTTTTTGTATCAAACCAATGGACAGGAAATATAATAGGCCTTCCTGTTTGGAAGTGTAATTGGGGAAATAATGTCATTAGAGAAGTACTTAATGACTTTGCTCTGAGTTATGGGACTGTCATTGGACCGTTCATGTTTTATCTTTGTTGTAATTGTTAATGCCTGCTATTTTCCATTCCTTGTTTGAAATGGTGATCCACACCTCTGGATTAGGCATAATTCTCAAATTTCAGAAATTTACAAATATAAATCATTACTTGACTAAGATGTGTCTACTTGTATTGATACATTTTGATACAAAATGAAGAAAGACTTGCCATTTCTTTTTAAAGTAGATTTACCTAGGGTTGTAATCGAGCCAAGCCGAGCCGAGTTTTCGGCTAATCGAGCTTCACTCGATTATTATATGATTGCGCTTGAGCCAGTCGAGCTCCGGAAATGGTGATCAAACTTGTCTTAGGAAGTTCGAGTTTGAGCCAGCTCGATTAGGCTCGGTCAACCCTGGTTTGACCACCCCCAATTTCAGCCCTGCATGATTTTTTTAGCTCATCAACCTCTTTAATTACACAATTATGCAAAAACATCTGCTGTAAATGACAATATACATTAAAAAAAAAAAAAAAAAAAATAGCTACTGCATCTCCTCAATCATATTAACCATGCTGGTTTCGTATGAAAGATTAAGTTTAGTGAATTAAATTTCTTAGTTTAATTGACTTTATTTAATTAATGTTTGAGCAAAACAAAAATAACATGTGATTTGGAGGCTACAACTAATAACTTTACATGCTAGGAGTAAGCTAATAACTAACCAACTATACATCAAAAATAGGTGGCCAAGTCATCAAAAGTTAGCTGTCCACTGTCCAGTAATAAAAAAAATAGGTGGCTGTAGATGGGTTTCTTCTTCCGAAACCACCAATTTCTTAGGGCTGCAAATAAATTCAATTTAGTAAGTTTCTTTTTATGTAAATATTCTAATTAATTTGCTATAAAACTGATATAAAATTACAAGAATAAGAGATCTTGCATGCTTCCATGTGGTTTAGGTAACTCTTACATTTTAATCTCTGCATAATAATGAAACCAAACCAAAATGAAGCAACTTGGACCAACGCATGCCTGCTACTATAGCCAAACCATATACTGAATCCCAGGAACTTAGGGGATAGGAAGCTAAATGAAAAAGGAGGAAAAATTAAAGTTTAGCTAGAATAAAGATACTGTAATTATTGAATTGAACCAAAACTATATTCAATATAACTTACTTTGCACCCTTTCTTCACCCCATTCAAAGAACGACACCAATCACATCCACATAAGAGCATCTCCACCGTGTCGGGAGTCAACAACGATCGATACGTGTCAATTACCCTACTCCCGGCACTAAAAGCAGACTTAGAAGCAACTTTAGTGATATGGATGGCTAATACTTCACGAGCCATGGTAGACAAAATTGGGTACTTTGTTGAATTTGCCCTCCACCACTACAAAGCATCAAATGCACCAAGATCTTCCACATATTTATGGCATCTCTCTCCCAAATAATAGTCTAACTCAGATTTACTTGGCTCTATAGTCTCTACCACGTCCCGAAAGTTAGTAAAATCATCCCATCCTGTGCTCTGTCTGCCGTTGGCCCCGACCCCTCACCAAGAGCCTGAAGTCCATCCCATGCTGATGTGAAAGCGCAGGCAATAGTCGATGTTTTACTAGCATCAACATACTCACCATATACCCCATATACCTCATACAAGGCATCCCGAATAATAACAGTATTTGCCCACGCTTCAAGGTCAAGATACATTTTAGAGAACAACCATTGAATCACCTTCATCTTCAATCTAAGGTCCAATACAGCAGCCACAGCCATCAGTAGATTACATTCCCTCCAATATTTGTCAAACTTCTCTTTCATTTTCCTAACCATGTTCCTAATAAAATCATCTTCATCTTCATCTTCACTCTTTCTATCCAACATGATTTTGATTAGACAAACTTGTTTTAGAAACAAATTTGTTGTCGGATAATCACTCCTTGAGATGAGATTGGTCGCACCACTAAAAACCTTCAAAATATCACATACTTTCTCTACTTTGTCCCAATCATCTTCTTCGGGACAATAATGATAACTTAAATCTCTTTCCTTCAATCTTTGAAAAACACGTCTGAACTTAATTATTATTGTCAACATTTTATATGTTGAATTCCACTGTGTTTTGCAATGAAGAATAAGTTTGCGAAACGGCAATCACAACTATTGAACAAATTCCGAGAAAACCTTAAGCCTACTCTTTGAGGCATTGATATATGACACACTATCATGGATGTCATCAATGATATGTCTAATTTGATAAATATCATCTTGAATAACCAGGTTTAAGATGTGTGCATAGCATCTTACATTAAACAATTTGCTCCCACAAATGAGCTTCCCCATAGCTTGGAAATTTTCCTTGAGGACTTTAATTGTAACATCATTGCTTGTAGCATTGTCCACTGAGATCGTGTGGACCTTATTTTCAATTCCTCAATCCATCAAGCACTTGTAAATGACATAAAAAATGGTGACACCACTACGGGGAGGGAAATGAAGAAAGTTGAGGACCCGTCTACTCAGTTTCCAATTATCATCAATCCAATGCCCAGTCAACACCATGTACTTCATCTTTTGATTGTCTAAATTTCATAGATCTATGGTCAGATTGGTCTTCCTAACACCCTTCAATGGCGTCTACAACTTTTGCTTCTCATTTTCATACACATTCACACAATCATTTTTGCATGTATTACGCAAAATCAGACTCCATTCAAGAATCTCATACTTCATCACGTTGTTCAATCCCTTTTCCTCCACCACCGTAAATGGATGTTAATGCATCAACACTCAATGGGCAATAAGTTCCCTCATCTTTAGCATATCGAACTTGTCTCGTAGAGCAGGCAGGATAACAGTTGCAGCCTCAACATTGGCAAGGGGAAAATTAATTTGTTGTTGCCTTACAGAAGCTATTCTCCTTGCACACCTCTTCAAATGTCTATTAAACTGGGTAGTGCTTTTAGTGACATTAATTTTCAGCTTGGTTTTATAGTGGATGCACTCACATTCTTTGTACCATCAGGGAGAACCATCTCCTTAAATTTTGTCCACACCGCTGATGTCTTGGCTCTTTTTCTCCTGTGAAGTGGATTGTCATTCTCCTCTACATTTTCTAGGCTACTAACATTTTGTTCCGTGGATCGAGTCATGCTCGCATACATGTTACAATGATCTACCACTCTGATAGTAATTGTATCATCATCCAATGTCGGGGAGTTTGAAACTACCTTCCATTTCCATACCTATATTTGAAAAATGAAAACAATCGTTAATATAAGTGAAATTAACTGCTCAACTCATATCATCAACAAACCATATGAAACATACATAATAAGAATTATACTGATAGATGCAATATATGATAAGTCAAAGAAATAAACAATCAAAGAAGCTCCTACAGGCTACAACAATCTGTTATAGATGCAAAGGTTGAGGTTTCAATAACATCAGCAAAAATATCAAGCTTATTAGAATACATTGTACTCTAGCAGGAGTACAAATAGTGGCATAAACCTCAAATTATCAAACCACAACAATAACAACACTCGACTCAACCTAGAAAATTATCAACAAATAGAAGGCACAAGGCAGTAGCCAAAGTCAGAAAATTTTATACCTCTCTTTATATTATAGCAAACCAAATACACAGAAGAATTAAACTAGCAATCACTATCCAATGGCACAATCAAAAGGAATAAAAAATTAGCAATCATTTTGAATAAGCAAAATTATCAAGAATGGGTTCTGGAAACTTTAGTAGGCTGTCATGTAGCCGTAGTACTCCATTTAAGTCTGAATTGAAGTAATTTCTCACTTTTTTTGCAGAACCCGTCGACTGAAGCACTAGAGTTGGAGAGAAATGGTTTCACGGCTAAATTTCGTCTGGCGTTAGCATGAAAAACTGAAAGTTGAAGCGTGGACGTCGTCAATCGATCGGCATCGGTGTTTGCGGCGTTTTGCATGGCAAGAAACTAGGAAAGAAAATGGCGAGATTACACAGTGGAGGGATTTATCCATTTGGGGTAGGTTAGTGTTGTGGATTTGGGAAGGAAATTGATTTGGGGGTTTTAGGGATTGGTCTTGTTTTACAACTAATTACTTAGGGGGGGTAAATGTCATGTTTTTAATTTTCAAACTTGAATATAACCTTCAGGTCCCCCATAATTTATAAAAAGTCACAAAAATCACCCTCCTTATGCGAGCCAACTCATACTCTGAGCCTAGAGCCGAGCCTCCCTGATTGAACTCGGCTCGTTTTATATGACGAGTCAGACCGAGCCATAACAGCATCAGCGGTTGATCAAGCTAGCTCACAAGCTACTCCACTCGTCTGACAACCCTAGATTATCTTACTATGCGATTTAAAGAGGGACCATGATTTCCCTGTTAATCGTTAATCAGGAGCCAAAATATTCCGACCTTTTTAGGGTTATGAATATAATCGCTGGTCCTTTTCTATGTATATGCACTTTTTTCAAGCTTTATCGATTGTTTGATGGTCCATCTTCACCCCTGTCAATGTTCCATCAAAAAGCAATTTTATTCTCTCACCAGTTACAAACCAATTGGTAGCATTAAACATTCTCGTGTTCCACGTGGTCCAACCTATCTCTAGGCTTATAACATCTCCTCACGCCATTATGATCGATCTTCTACTTCTAACCACAAAAAAAGTTTCTTCCAACAATAAATTTACCAGAATTCTATGCCCTTTGTCGGAGATTTCAAGTTACCCTTTTGCTGCAATTATGATACATCTACCTTCACTTCTTTCTCCTATTATTCACATGGGCTGTCCTAGCCATTAAACAAATGTAGGAAGAGAAATGTTTGAAAAACCTTCTCATTAATGGTTCGGTCCACTCATTAAAGTTCTGGAATGGACACATTAAACGAGGGTTGCTTCACATACAATCTATTAAAACTATAAACAGAAATAAAACACCCTTATTGAAACTATACAATGCCGACCTTACCTAATTCATATTACAATTTGAGTTTAATTGCTTTTTCAATATCTTATCAAGCAATCCTATCTTCAGCTTTTCATGAACATCTGATAATGGGTTTTTTCGTTTGTTACCCAACACACATCTATCTGTATCTTTCTTCTAGAGATGCTTTAATGTTTCTCGAATAAATTATATGAGTAATGAAAACATGGACCAGCATATTATTAGGTAGTTACAGAATTAAGGTTGAAGCAGCCTACATTCTCCATGTGGACACTGTTGATAATGTCCAGTGAATGTCACTGTAATCACATTCTTTACTTGAAGGTTTTGCAATACATATTGCGATTGAAAGTCCTTTATCACCATAACTTAATGCACGGAGGAAATTAATTCTAATACATGACCTGTAATGAATCCCATCAAATATAACTTTTCTTCTCTGAAAAATTTATATCCAGGGTTTAAGCACTTGATATTTATGGCTAATTATTTGATTTGTAGCAAGCCGCCATGGTGATGAATGATGATATAAGTAGACACGCTGCTTGAGCGTTCGGTCAGTCCGAGTGCCCTATAATAATCCTTTGTTTTTGTGTTTTCACATCGAGAATTCCTACTTCTTTCTATTCTCGTCACTTTCGTTGCTCTACATTGTGCTGAGACCGAAAGGCTCTAGTAAAGCTTTAGCTCTTTCATATCTTACATCTGGTCCTCACATAAACTGAAATTTAGAAAAGCTCAACAACGAAAACGAAAACGTAACGAATCCAGCACTTCTAGGGTACGAAAAACGTTCTTATGTTCCTCAAGACATATTTGCTAAAGATACGAGACCAAAAGCTAGCCTTGTAGCCCCCCTAAAATGCCACAAAAGAGTAAACAATTTGCCCGATTAATGAGAAAGTTTATCAGTTCTTAATAATAGGATTTGGTTTAAAGCAGATTTTAATTGGTTAAGTTCATAAATACACGACCACTAAAGTATTGAAATTTTCAATCAAACAAACTAACAAAAATTTCACAAAAACTCTCTATGTAGGTGCCGTACCAAACACAACCTAATATTTAAAATCTAACAATAAAAAGAAAAAGGCATAAGGATTTTGATGAGAATAGAGTTTACTGCTGGGGAAATGGAAAGGTAGTTTTGGAAACTATGAAATGTTATTAAAATACTAGTACAATGATAATAAGTAACCCTGGAATTGCAAAGAAACGGTACAACTCACATCTATTTTGATCATACAGGTCAAAAAACCTTAACTGAAACCAACTGGAGCCGACTCTAATACTGAAGTACAAAAGATGAGAAGCACGTGGTGAGATGGATCTGGGAAGTGAGTGGGTGCGGTTGGCAGCTGCGCAAGAGCATGTTGCCTTTGTCTGGAATCAAAATCTGTAATTTTGTCTCAGCTTGAACCCTCGTCACAGCCACAGCTGATGCAAATGAATCAGCGTTCGACGACGAATTCTTGGCTCCTAATTATTATTTGCCTTCTGATTTGGACTAGTCAAATGTGCATCTCCTGCAACTCTAACAGCCTTCTCTTCTCACAACCCAACAAAATACTTGGACGTCACCTTTGGTAACTCAGTGTATACTCCTAGTTTTAGCAATATTTGAAAACGTTTTCACAGGACTTGTTGCATTACTGCGGCTCTTACCTCTTCGCAATCTGACATGACTGAGAAAATCTGCAGCATGGCAGTGACTACACTCCATTCGATGCTCGCCTCACTGGGTGCATAAGCTGTTGGAGTGACACAACCAGATGTGGCATCTGATCCTTGCCTTGCAAGAAAAGGTTGCCTTGCCTTTCCCGTGAGGCTCTCTATTTCAAACAAGTCTGAACTTGCATCACTCTCGGTTTCGAAGTAGTTATCACCATGACTTGTTGCTGAAAATTCAATTTCCTCTCTTCTTGGACTTGCATCCTCCCAGCATACATCGTCTCTCCTTCACGCTTAAAGACTTGTTTCTCTTTCAACCATAGGGCACCAAACCACCTCAATTGACTTCCTTGGCTTTTCTTCTTCAATTTCTTGGAATGTATTTTAATGGTCTCAGAACTCATACTCGGAAAACTAAAGCAGTTTTCTTTACTGCAGGTTTGCTAATCGGTTCTGTAGTGTTTATTGTTTTGGTTGAACTGTACCGTTGTCAGCACTTCTTTTGAAATTGGTTTCACCACCATGTTCATTGATATCAACTGAATCTTTATCAGAACAAAACATTTACATCTGAGACCAGCGAAAAACTATTCCCTTGTAGCTTTGTTTCTTCGTGTGTTATGATGGTTAGGATTAGGATTAGGATTATTATGCTTCAGACACTCTGCGTAAAGCAGTTTGGCTGTTCCAACTTGATTCAGAACGACGCTTGGAGTTCCAGCTGCCTGAATTCTTGGTTTCACTAGAGTTGGATCAGTTCGTTCTTGATCTTTCACGTAAGGGTAGTTTCTTGCACCAACTTTGACAATTCTCGGACTGTCATCCATTGCTCCGTGAAGTATTCTCAGCACTAAATACTCCAATCTCTCCATCTTTTTGTCCCTTTCTTTCTGAGCAAAGATTTCGTCTTGGCCACCATTATAGGACTTGACGCTGCAAGTTTACGTACAAAAGTCTCTCGGCGCTGTTCGGTATGAGAAAATGATGCCTCGCGAAGTTGTTATTGTTACTTCCATAGGGCAGTGTTTGTGAGAGGCTGTCTTACAGTTTGATGTTATGGTAATCATAGCCATGGAGTTTTTTTTTTTTTTTTTGGAAATTTGGTTGCAAAAACAAAAAGCAGGTTGCTGAAAGCACTAAACTACAAAAGAAAAAAATGAAAAGACCCAGCAGCGGGAAATTACATCCTGGTAGCATTAGCTTAAGACATGTAGAGAATTTGTTAAAGCTACCAACTGAACTGAAAACATGAAAAGAAACAAACATGAAGAAGCTTCAAGTAACCAATGGCTGAAATTAGGTAGCAGAAAGAAGAAATGGATTTGTAAATTGAGAGGGAAGTAGGGTGGTGGGTTTAGTGAGAAAATAGTTTGTATAGTAGAGTTGTCAAATATGCAAGATGTTAAAAGGGGTAGGCCGTTACTTGTGGTGTGACCTAATTGAATTCTAATAAATGTCTAACACTAGGTATGATATCGATAATTATATTTATTTGTTTCCATATTAATGGTGGATATGATATCATGTTGCTTAAATTTCAGTTAGATTGACATGTAATAACAAAAAAAATCACAGGAGATTATCAAATTTCACAATATGATCAAATGTATCTTTCAATGGTTTTATACCATCAAAATTCATTTTGTTAATTTCTTCAAGAAAAGACCATTAATATTAATAAATAATCTGTATTGAGTCATTGGTTGGTACCTATCTCTTCATTAACCATGTGATAGTGTATAGCAAGTTGTAGTTGATTTTTCAAAATGATAAGCATAATCAGTGGATATATTAGCCATGAAATGACCAGAACCAAACTGCGTAACATGTTTTGCCTGGCTAGTTCGGTAAGAGATGCTACATATAATTATATATGGGGTCATTCATATTAATCAAAACAGGGATTAAGGTAGAAATGGAACACGTATACATTCGTATCCGTACTGGACTATCTAGCCGACAGATACCATTAAGAATAACAATCTGCCATCACAATCTATGCCATAAATCTACCAGCCTTCCTCAATTTAGTCCACACATAAAGTTACACCCCATTCCCTACCATCACCAACAGGCTCCCTTCATCTTCATTTACGTAACTCCAATCCTACTATCAATAAGACAATCCTATAATATTTTAATACATGCACTGAAAAAAATGAGCTCTATCAAAGTTACTTCAAATGGACAACCTTTCATGTCCAGAAAGCACATGGAAAACTGTAGTTAATAAATAGCTGCTCCAAGGTTGTATAGCCGAACTCGGTAAGGGCTTTCTATATCAAGGTGGGTGGACATTGGCTGGACTT